TATACACACACACACACACACACACACACACACACATATATATATATATATATATATATATACACACACACACATACACACGTTATTTTTTAATTAAACTACTAATTGGGAGGATGCAGGTTTCATAGGCTATTACATATTCTACTGTCCCAAAGGGTAGGTTTTACCTCACAATCAAAAACTATCTAGACATTCTCTACATCATTTCAAGGAAACCGCCCTAAAATGTTTATTTTTTCCATAAGCCACATTTTTGGAGCAATGAACTAAAATTATAAATTGAGGTAGACATGGATGTTTTGGATCTCTGGATGATTATTGATGTTGACAAAATAAGCTAGACATCTTCCCCTTGTTGCCACAGAGACACAACACTACCTCAGAGAGCCAAGCTGCTCTAACAACAAAGAAATCAATGTACCCTATGGATGATTTCATCTTCACTACACATCTTCAAAATAGGGCCAGGTTTTATAGGGGGATCTCACTGAAGATAATTTTGTAAGATATTTATGAGTTTTCCAATAAAGTCATTTGTGCATTGTATAAAGTATGTACGGGTACCTAAATTCAAATCCAAGCTTATTTGAGAGTTTACAGCCTGTTGCTAGGAGACCTAATTGCTAGAAATTTGTGGCTCAGTTTTCTGCTTCTAAAAATACAAAGCTAGAAAGAAAGCTTTATCGTGTCATGAACATAATGAAACAAATTTTCATGCATTTTATCCTGTAATCTTAACAAATTTATTGTTAGACTCTTACCCCACTTCATTCACAAATCTAGATTGATTTCTTTAGAAAACTGTTTAATTTTCACACTGATTCATATGACAATTGTAAATTACATAAGCCCTATTTTTGCAAAATCTGCTGCAAAACCAAATCAAAGATATACTGGTGTGTGTTGAAGGTATACTCTTGTAGACTAGTATGTGAAGTTCACTTGTTCTTAGTTTTTTGTTCTGGTAACTCAGTTCAAAATTAATAGGTCTTAAATAACTTACTAATAGTCATTTAAAGGCTTCAGAATCTATTTCTACACACTATAATTTCCCTTAAAAATATGTCCCTTATAGGCCTGTACAAGTTCAATAAATATTCCTGTATTTGATTTTCTTTTTTTCATTTTCTTTTACACATTCAATCACATTATTATTTGTCTCACAAAATGTATATTTTAACAGCTGAACATTTCTCTCTAGTACAGTTGATAAAACAACAAAATATCTTCAATAGATAATACCACATTTCTTTGTGCCATTAATGCTTTACCTCCCTTTTTTTCTTCTAAATGTCCTTCCTCAGACTCTCTTCTTTCACACACACTATATCTGGTATTTACATCTATATACTGTGTTTCTATATCCTTTAGTCAATTAGTTTCAGTCATAGAGTGCGGACACTTGGTATATATTAAGTGGGGACATACAATGCCTCTCCTTCATAGCCTGACTTGCTTCACTCAGCATTTTCTCTGACCTTTGTTGTGTTCAAACATGAGAATCTTTCATTCTTAGACTGCATTTATTTCCATGCATCATGTAATGTAGTCCATGTCTAGAGTAATACATGATTCATCTTAACTTACAAAATTCAATCATATATTCAAAGTAGATTTACTTTTGCTGTTTCATTCACAAAAGAAGTAAAACACTATTTAAAGTTTATTTCTGCTGAGAGAGCAGAGAGAGAAAGACAGAGAGAAGGCCATCCTCAACAGGATCTTTATCCCCATCGCTGGCACGACACGTGCACTCACCCTGTGCACATGGGGTGTTCAGGGGGATTCCAGGACACCAACTAGGCCCTTTCCTATGTGAGTCTAGTGCTCCACGGCTACACCACCACCTGGCCCCAAGATGCTGATAGTCACAATCTTTAACTTGGAGATGTTACCCAGATACCACCTCATGACACACCTCTATTTTCCGTGAAAGATGTTCTTTACCCAAATAAGTTACAATAATATTTAAATTTTTATCAACGAAAATAAATAAAACTAACAAGCTTAATGACTGCCTTATATTTATAAGAGGCTTGTAAAGGGAACCAGCAATTAGCGTAATGGCTATGTTGCTGGACTCCCACGTAGTCGACCGAGGTTCGCGTCCCAGACCCGGTGGCTTAAAACTCATGCCAGGCACATGTGCGTGCATGCCCAGGATCCCGAGAGGAGAATGGAGGAGAAGGGATTGCAGCGTGACCATCCCCCCTGGGGGGTGATTTCTCACTTTCTGTTTCTCTGTCTCTCTCTGTTTGTCTGGCAAGCGCACGCACCCTATAGTGAAAATCTCTCCCCCCCCAAAAAAAAGAGGCTTGTAAAGATATTTTTGAACAAACATTGTGGTAGTTACACAGTATTTTCAAACCAAAATGACTTTTTTTTGTAAACAGAAACCAAAATATCTAGTGGTATGCTGGTAAACCAGTTCTCTGGAAGCAAAAATATATATATATACATATATAGTAAAAATAAAAATAAAAAAATCCCTGATTTGTAGCATTTGCCAATTTGTATAGTGTAAACATACCCACTGCTGACAGCTGATAGATGGTTTTATTGAATTTGTTTCATGAAAGGACTATTTACATGTGACTGTCTAAATCCATGCACACTCAGACACATATCATTCTATACAAATGTACATACTTTGATTCTTCCTCTCAATATTCGATGAAGCCTGAGAAGAGCAGTTTGTCCCTTTAGGTCAGGAAATAGATGAGACCATCTCTTTGTGGGTGACACTCTAACAAGAGAGGATGTCATCTCAGACAGCTCTGATCCTCTTCTTCAGAAGAAAGTGGTTGAAAAAAAATCAGTTTTTGACTGAAGTAGAGACTTCAGCAACTTTAATATTCCCGTCAGCGTTATGGCCATGGTGAAGTCCATTGAGCAGAAAACATAATAAATAAAAAGCTCTTTAAAAACATCAACCATGGCAGCATGTTGGCATTCCAAATCAAATGTCCACAGACCAATGGTCTAAAACAGAGATAGAATCCAGTCTGTTGACGTTGTCTATACCAACTGTTGGATCTCAAGGATTAAGATGTTTTCCTTAGCATGAATTCAATCTGGGAAAATTTTAATCTTCGTGCAATATCCAATGAGCTCTCACCATGCTGAGGAGAAAAACAGAAAATAAAAACAGTTATTAAACAGTTGTTTATTTTCAATAGCATAACTTGTCAACACAAAGGGCCCCATAAACAGTTACGACTGATTGACTCTTAGGCTTTCCAAAAGCTTTAAACATCATTCAGTTCTAACAGTGATAGAAAAACTTTATTTCTTAATGAGGACAGTGAATTTCATTATTGTGATTATCGAAGTAATTAATTTACTTCAACACGAGACCTACGTTAGAAGATCATGCTTCTAGACGACCCTCAGCCCACAGGTCCTTACCTTATTCTTTATCAAGGGGTCTGCGTGGGCTTCTAGGAGCAGAGGGATAAGAGTCTGGTTTTTCATCTCGCAGGCGTAGTGTAATGCGGTGCAGCCATACTGAAAAAGAAAGGCCCAGGTTGCAGCTCATCAGCTGGGCTCTCCACAGACCCAGCGTGTGGCTTATTTAGCAAGTACTTTTCACACCGTGTAATGCACCACTGAGAAACAGAGTTTGCCAACCATCTGTAGGCAATTATATTTCTTTTTCTTTGGAGAGATCTTTGCTATAGGGTATGTGCCCTGGCTGGAGAGACAGAAAGCAAGAAATCACGCCTCCCAAGGGGATGGCCATGCTGCAGTTTTTTCTCCTCCATTCTCCTCTTGGGATTTTGGGCATGCATGCACACACACCTGGCATGAGTTTTAAGCCACAGGGTCCAGGACTCCAACTGCAGTTGACAACGTGGGAGCCTAGCAATGTGATTGCTCTGCTATCTGCAGGTCTCAGCAACATTTCTTTTACTTAAAAGATTATCTTCTCTGTCTTAATTGCATATGTTTATTAATCTTCCAGAAAACATTACTATCTTGCTTTCTCACGCTCTCTTCCAAATTAAAAAAAAAAAAAAAGCAACTTTAGGCCAGCAGGTGGCATGGTGGGTAAGGGTGCGGGACTCCCACATAGCCAACTGCAGTTCAAGTCTTGAACCTGGCGGCTTGCTTTTTCCTCTCTCTCTCTCGCTCCTTTCTCTGGTCAAATTAAAATAAATGAATAAATAAAGTTAAATACAGTAACTATTTTTAAAAAATGCAACTTATTCAAAACTGGTGCCTGGGTCAGATGGTGGTGCAGTGGTAGAACATGATGCTCTGTAAAACTAACTGACCACATGGGAGGGTTCCAAGTTCATATCTGAAGACTGCCCTGAGTGAGTTGGGCATGCATGTCCATGATGCAGGGCTGACTGAGGCTGGGGATGGTTCGTGGCATCCAGACCCTGTTGAAGGTGTGTCTCTCTCTTTCTCACTCATGGAGGAAATAAATAAATAAACTCTAAACAGCAAACAATGTAATGCCAACTTACAGCCAGTCTTATTTGCAGAATTGTGTATGCCCGAGTCATCAGCCCCTGGATCACACTACCATATTTTCCCTTAGAGAATCTTCTTACGGACTTCTTTGCAAATACTGTCTTCCAAGGTTTTGGACCAAGGTCCCCACAATCTGAAGAAGCACTCCGAGCACTGTCTATAGTACACCTGTGAGATCATAGCAGTTCTGCATAGCCATCTCCCACACCTGGTTGGTACTGGTCCTAGTATACATTACGAAGTAGTGAACCTACTGGACCTACTCTGTTGGTCCTAATTTAATCTAGGGCCCAAAAAGTCCATAGCTAAATTTGTGTCTAAAATTTTGCTTTTCCAAAAGCAGCCAAGGAACCATAGCTTTAGTAAGTGAAGAAATAACATCCTGAACTCTCAAGACTAACAGAATTCACTCTGGACTTTATTTCCTGGAAAGGCCTCTAAATTCATAAAAGATAATGCTACAAACCTTTTTATAAAGAACTATTTATTTTTTATTTTTGTTTATTGTTATTACTCGTTAATTTTCTATAGGGGACATGTGTTCACCAGAGAGAGATAGAGACAGGGCAGGGGGAGTGAGAAAGCAAGCCACCAGGTCTAGGACTCGAACCGTGGTCAGTCATGTGAGAGTCCAGCACCTTAACCAGAACACCACCTGTTTTCCTCCAAGCTTATTTTTTAGTAGGTGATGGCATGAGTCATGGAAGACCTGGCTCTGAATTTTTCCATCTAAAGTGAAAAGTCCAATTACCTAAATATCTAAGCACTGGATATACTTAGAGTTAGAGAATGGATCAAATATTCAGATAGCTTCTGACAACTGTTGAGTGGAAGGAATAGGTGTCTACGTGTGTGTACATACATGTGTGATCATTATAAACCTACAGAGCTGGGAAAAATTTCCTAGAGAAATTTTGATCATAGAAATAAATTTTAAATCATTTGAATTTAAGCAAAAATACCAGAAAAAAATTTCAACATATCTTTTGTTTAATCTTTAATAATCTTACTTGAAACATTTCAAAGATATCTAATAATAATACACAGTACTAGTCTATTCAAATTAACCCCAAAAATCTATTTTAAATATAAAGAAAATATACATTTATGAAGTCTGTGTGTTCTCTTTCTTTCTTTCTCTCTGTCACACGTATGCACACACATACACCACAAAATATGATACCAATATAGTCAAAACTAAAATAATATAAATAGTTAATATAAACAGAGGTGGGCTAGATATTCTCTATCACAGAACAATGGTAATAAATAAAACACACACACACACGTGTACACACATAAAATAAGTTAGGTATTTATTGCAAATAGAATGCTAGTTTTTTAAAAAATTAAATTTCAACTTGCTTACCTTTCTAGTAAAGAACTAGGAACCTAAAACACCATAAAAATAAGCATTTGACACAGTGTGATCATTTAGAGCAGGAAAAGGTGTATGAGGATGCAAGGGTGAAAGGTGAAAATAAAATCATATTTTGCCTGGGCTGGCCCCGTGGCTCCGTAGCACAGCGGTGGCATTGTAGCTACCGGCAGACCCCACCTGGCCCACCAGCACGGTTCAAATTCTGCCCCCAGTGACTTGAAAACACACTGGGCATATGTGCATGCCCCAAATCCTGACAGAATAGAGAAACAGGAAAAAAGATTGGGGTGTGACCATGCCCCACTGTGGGAGTTGTTCTCTCTCCCTTCCTTTGGCAGGTGCACATACCCTTTAGCAATTAAACAAAAAAGTTTAAATAAAAAATGGAAAAACCCATAAACTTCCTAACAGGAAGAAAGAAATAAACTGATTCTACTCTTGTTATCACTGCACTTATCATTGGGTTTTTCTTTGACCTTTGCCCTTGTCTATCGTTAGTGTAGAGATGGGCTGTCTCTTCTCAGTGGGTTGGCATCTTGGCTATGGCAGCGTCATTGACATCAGTGAGCACTTTCTAGGTGCCCAGCACTCTGCTAAGTACTTTATATGAGTCGGGCCTATAAAGTAATTATGTCACTATCCCCATTTTACAGATGAACAAATAAAATGTGAATAAGTTAATAACTTACCAAAATTCACAGAAGTAAAGAGTAGCAAGCCTAGATTTACACGAGGCATTCTGACTACAGCTTCTTTACTGAGAGTGGTCTTTTCTTATCAGAGTCTCAGTTTTTCTTAAACACTCACCAACTTTTTTTGGAGAGGACAATTTTTTGGTGTAGGGCACATGTGCTCGCCAGAAAGATAGAAAGAGACAGAGAGACAGAAAGTGAGAAATCACCCCCCAGGGGGGATAGCCATGCCACAATCCCCTCTCCTTCGTTCTTCTCTTGAGATCTTGGGCACACATGCACATGAGCCCAGTGTGAGTTTAAGCCACCAGGTCCGGGACTCAAACTGCAGTTGACTACATGGGAGTCCAGCAACATAGTCATTATGCCAACTGCTGGTCCCGACCACTCACCAACATTAAAGCTATTTATTTTTTTCAAGTTCCATAATCAATAAATATGTTATTCTCTTAAGTTTTGAAATGACCTCAAAGTCACCTAATTGGCAATGGAGACAAAAAAGAAATAAAGGAGAAAAAATTTTAAATGTAAAAGTGCCTAAGAAAATAAAGTAAGCAACTGTAAAGAAGACAAATGCATTATCTATAAATAGTATTTTAATACTATTTCAAAATGGCTAAAAACACAAACTTACACAGTCTGTCGCATTGACTTCGATGCCAGCATCTAGTAACATTCGTACAAGAGCCTCATTCTGCTTTGTCTTTGATACCTATTACAAAAGGAGTACAAAGGAGGTTTATTTACATTTTCTCTATCTTGTATCTAAGACTATTTTAATCAATAGACTTCATCTATTGGGTGCATGAGCTTGCTAAAGAGACACACAAAGAGAGAAAGAGAGAGAGAGAGAAGGAAAGTGAGAAATCACCCTCTTACCACCACCACCACCACCCTGGAGGAATGGCCATGCCACAATCCCTTTTCTTCCATTCTCCTCTCAGGACTTTGGGCACACGTGCACACACACCTGGCATGATTCTGAAGCTGCCAAGTTTGAAGCTCGAACCACAAAGTCGGCCATGTGGCATTCAACACTCCACACCACCTGCTGACCCGTGTGCAATTCTCTTAAAATTTCTCTCACCTCCTCACCCCCAATATTGATTAGGTTTTTTTGTTTTTGCAGAGCCCCATTATTTTAATCCCATTTACAGTGTTGAAGAAAAACTGCTACATGACATTTATTTTATGCACAGTTTATGGTTTCATTAGAATCTAGCTACCACGAAAATATATTGTGATTGTTATATAAGTCACTTTTATTTTCTTGGCATTTCATGTATTTGTGGTTTTTAAAATTTTTATTGTTATTATTTTCCAATACTGATTATTAAAGCCATGGTTCTCAGGGTGTGATCCTGGAATAACAACATCAACACCCAAGAACTTGATTTAAAAAGTGTATATCCTCAGACCCCAGCCCAGACCTGCAAAGTCCCACTGAGGATTCAGTTCAATAACTACTTTTCCCTCCCTAGCTCAAAACTCTGCAATAACTTCCCTTCACTCCAAGGAGGACCAGAGTAAACTCTTGAGCACAGCCTACAAAGTCCTTAACGTTGGTCCCGTCTGTGCCCCCAGCCCTGGCTCTCCCTCCCCATCCCTTGGACCCTGCTCTAGCTGCGCTGGCCTTTCTTAGTCTCCCATTCCCACCAGGCTCCCTCCTGCTAGACAATCACTGAACAAGAAGTTTCTTCTGCTAGAAACCTCCTGCCTCCCTTCTTTGCCTGGTAAACTCATCTTTCACATCTCAACTTAAGCTTTTCTTTCTTCAGGAGCCTTTCTCTAATCTACCAAAGTGAAACCCTTCTTCTGGGCTCTCATAAAAACAATCTCTTCTTGGTATCTCCTAATAATTTCCCATGTGTTTGTGCCATTTGCTTACTGCATCCCTTCCTACAGCTCTCTAATTCTCATGAGGATGCAGACCACATTTGCTGTGTTCATCACCGTGTCCCCACAGCATCTTTGACAAAATAGGTCCATAACAAATGTATGTTGAAGGATCGAACAAATGAATGAAATAAACTTGGGCTCCTCATAAATGCACTTTTTCCTTCCTAGTCCCATGAGATCCCAACCACATGTCACTAAGAGCCTTGCCCAACATCCTGTTGCCTAGGGAAGCAAAACTCTCCGTGCTCACATGTGCATGGCCTGGAAAGCTCCGTCCACTTGTCTTCTCTCCCTGCACTTCCCTCCTGTGTAACTGCCTTTTTCTTCCTACCCCTTCCTGAAGTAAGTCATTCCTTTTTGATCTCTCCCCTTACAATTTATTCTCATGTATCACAAATTTATAGCTTTAGGCTCCACTCATAAATAAGGTATGTGTGCAACTGGAGCTCTACATTACAATTGCCATTGCCTCAGCCTCTGGCTTCCAAACATTGGAACACTCTAGAAAACAGAGTTGTATGTCACATTCCAAATAAGCCTTGATAATTATGGTTGTGATTATTTTCTTCAGCATTGCTAAAAAAAAAAGGTTTGTAAATCAATGAATGATGACTTTCCCTGCCCCCAAAACTACAAATATTGAAAGGTTCTGTGCTAACTACACAGTGATTTTTCACAAATTCCTCAAACTAATCATGGGTTTTTGGTAAATTTTCTGTCTTTTCCATAAATCCAAGCATCAAAATCAACATCATCACATTTAATGATAGTTCCTCAAATTCTGTAGCATTTAAATACCCAAGAAGATTGCATTTCCAACTGGCAAAGTTGTTCTGGAGCTTAAGTTGACAGCCACGGTTAACAATGTCCATGGACTAATCACTGCAAAAAACAGGGAGCTTGGCTGTTTAACTCTAGAAATTGTACTCTCAGTTGTCTTTCAAAGGTGGGACTGGCCACAAGGAGAACCAGGTGTAAAAAGTGAATGAATGAGTCAATGCTAACCTATCACCCTATTTGAAGAAAATAAAACTCCATCTTCTACTCATAACATGACAGCATTTTTAAACCAGTAACACCGTTCTTTATTCAAGAAAATGACAGCCTGATAAAAGATCATTCGAGCATGAATAAATCCGTCAAGGACAAGAAGCTTCACATTCTCAGAATCTTTGTCAGTTTCTAGATGCAAATCTCTTGGAATCTGTTTTTATTTTAAATTTTATTTTATTTCTTGCCAGAGAACATGTAGGCTCACCAGAGAAATAGAGAGAAAGACATAGAGGGTGAAAGCACTCTCCAGTGGGATGTGGTCATGGCGAAATCCCTTCTCCTCCATTTTTCTATGTTGTTGAGATTTTGGGTGCACACATGCATACATGTGAATGCACACACACATGGTGTTTTTCAAGCTGTAAGGGCCAGGATTCAAACCACGCAATTGGCCATGTGGGATCTGGCTTCCTTAACCACACTAGGCCATGAGGGCAACCCAGGATCTATTTTTTAACTTACCGCCAGGGCATGTCCATAAAAATCAGACAGTGAGAAAGATATGTGCAAAAGCATAAACTCCTTTCACAAGAAAAGGAGAACAAATTAGTAAGAAACAGAGTTTTTGAGTGTTCAGGATTTTTGTGCTTCTACCAGATAATTTATTTTTCTGAATAAACACTGCACAGATTATGATACCACTCATCAGACTTTGTGATCTTCTTTTATTTCATAGGATGGCGATGGCATGTGTGTTGGAACTGTCACTTACAGAACACAAACCAAGGGCTCATTGTTATTCTTTCTTCATATCTCACTGCCTTGGCAGGACTTGATGAGTCATATCACTGTTCTCCAGCCCCTTTACCCTTCGCTGCAGCCAGCATAATACTCACCATGAGGAAATACCCAATAAGCAAGACAGGCATTAGGAGGACAATGAGCAGATAATCGAAGAAGGTAAACCTTTTCCTCACAGCATAATGCAAGCAGGTTCTCTCCTTCTAAAAATTAGGAAAAGGATTGTTTATTAGTGTAAGCTTTCATTTCAGATTTCATATTTTCAGATGATCATACCAAAAAGTTTAATCCGTGAGCAAGAGAGGCCGAAAGGAAAAGAAACAGCACCCTCAACAGGGAACTGATGTCACGATCCATCCCTGGCCTTCAGACAGCCCCAGATCATAAGAAAGCATGAGCCAACATATTCAGGGGGGTCTCTAGACTTGAACCAGTGACCTTCCCATGTGGTAGTGCCTCATGGAACATCATCTTCTACCACCGTGCTAATCTCTCACCTCTAAACTCATACATTAATTCCATTTTCTATGAACATATTGAAGTACTCTTACATGATGCTAGAGTCTTAAATCTTTTATTATGAAAGGATCCAGACTTAATTGTTGAAAATTTGTTGTATTTACTTCTGGTTAGTTTTTCTTTCTTTTTTTTTTTTAAGATTTGTTTATTTTATTCAGGAGAGACAATATGTGCAAGCACAAGAGAGAGAGAGAGCAGCTCTCTACACAGGGCACAGTCACACCACAATCCCCTCCCTCCAGTCCATCAGGGATCTTGGCCACATGCAGGCATACTCAGCATATTTCAGGACAACTAGGCTGGGGATCCGAGCTATAACTGACTGTGTGGCTTCCAGCGCTGCAGCCCACTGAGCCACTAACCACGACACAGGCTGGGTTGATCAGTCTTCTGATTTTTTTTAACTTTATTTGTTTATTTATTTTCATTTGACCAGTGAGAGACACAGTGAGGGGGTGAGGGGAGAGTGAGAAAACAAGCCACCAGGTCTGGGACTCAAACCACAGTAGGCTATGTGGAAGTCCAGCACCCTTAACCACTATACCACTTGCCAGCCCCCTGAATTATTTATAAGCATAAGTAAGTATGTAGAATTTTTAAATCTAGGATCAAGTTACACATGCAAAGTCATATCTTACTTTTTTTCAGCTTAGAACTACACATTTAAAATATATGCATTTTTCATACCATTCAATATTTGTTAACATATGATTATAATTGCTATGTGGTTTTTCTATTGAATGGAGCTACTGTAATTCATTTAGTGAAACTCTATCAGGCATTTCAAGCTTGTTCTTTGCTTTTGTTTTACCTTTAATCGACAATAATTATGTACTTATGGAGTACAGTGTGATGTTTTGATATGTGTTTACATTATAGAATGAAAAATCAGGCTAACAAATCTATCACCTCACATTCTTATTTTTTGGTGGTGAAAACATTTAAAATCTACTCTTTGATCAGTTTTGAAATGTATAACAAGGGGCCAGCAGGTGGCATGGCGTGCCTATGTCCCAGGCAGGTGACAGCATAACCCTGGTAGGAGTTCTTGTCTCTCTCTGTCTCTCTATCTGTCTCTATGACTCATGGAAGAAATAAACACACTGTTTTAAATAATCTCTATTAAAGTATCTACTGAAGTCCTTTCTATGATTTTTTTCGAGAGGTTTTTGCTATAGGGCGCGTGCGCTCACCAGACAGATAGAGAGAGACAGAGAGACAGAAAGCAAGAAATCACCCCCCAGGGGGGATGGCCATGCCTCAATACCTTCTCCTCCATTCTCCTCTCGGGATCTTGGGCACGCACGCACACACCCCCAGTGTGAGTTTTAAGCCACCGGGTCCGGGACACGAACTGCGGTTGACTACGTGGGAGTCCAGCGACATAGCCATTACGCTAATTGCTGGTCCCCCTTTCCATGATTTTTATGATACATCAAGATCTCAGCAGCTGACTGAAGATTTCTGCAGAGCAGATGAGGGAGCCTTTCCAGCCCTGCCCTGGTGTGGCCAAACAGCTTCCTGACAGAAACCACAGACATCTGTCTTCTGAATCTGCCACTCACCACAGCGCTGCACACCTCGCTCTCAGCTGTGTTCCAGAGAGAGGTCTAGACTACATCACTATTAGATTCAGTATAGACATGGTTTGCTCTTAAACCCAACCAAACAAAAGAGAGTAAGCACAAAAGAGGAGGTCCAGTGGTGATCAGTTCCCTGATAATACATTGTTACTCTCCATAGTCTGGTCTTGAGATTGAGTTGGATTGGAAGGGGAATGTGGGATTTTTGCATGCTGCTTATAGACATGGTTTGCTCTTAAACCCAACCAAACAAAAGAGAGTAAGCACAAAAGAGGAGGTCCAGTGGTGATCAGTTCCCTGATAATACATTGTTACTCTCCATAGTCTGGTCTTGAGATTGAGTTGGAAGGGGAATGTGGGATTTTTGTATGCTGCTTTTCTCATTAAATGTACATGGATGGATACAGGACATTTATAATATTGCAAGAACTGACTTTTAATGTTTACTCAGTGTAATTTAAATGTCACCTTTACTACAATGCAGATGCTAGACACTCAGAAGGGATCCTGCAAAGAGTTCACAGCACTGCACACATGTTTTACTCTTTCTTGGTTCAGTCGACTCAAGTTGCATTATCAAATATATTCTTTATCCTTTCTGTGCAACTTCCAATAGCCTCTAGTTCATGAGCTTATTTGTACTTGGTAAGTTTCTCAATAGCATTCTTTCATCTTACAAACACAAACCCTGGAATCAGTACCAGCTGATGGCCTGTTAGGAACGAGGTCACACAGCAGGAGATGAGCAAGAGAAGCTTCATCTGTATTTACAGTCACTCCCCATCATTCCCTTTATCACCCGAGCTCCATCCACCTCCTGTCAAATCACCATTAACACTAGATTCTCAGCATAGATTCTCATAAAAGTGTGAACCCTATTGTGAACTGCGCATTTGAGGAATCTAAGTTGTGTGCTCCTTATGAGAATCTAATGTCTGATGATCTGAGGTGGAGCTGGGACATTGATAATAGAACTGGGGAACAGCTGCAACTACTGCATTATAGTGAGTTGTATAATTATTTCACTATATATTATAATGTAATCATAGAAATAAATACATATATATGTAATGCACTTGAATCATCCAGAAAACATTCCCTCCTCTCCATCCATGGAAAAATGTCTTCTGTGAAACCAGTCTCTGGCGCCAAAAGGATTGGGGACTACAGCACCATAGGATCTGCCAGAGACCAGGACATTAACACTGCAAGAAAAAAAAAACTAACTAATGGAACGATGGCACAAAGTCAATGTGTTTTTTTTTCTAGGAAATCTTTTCCATTTTTTATAATAGTAAAGAGGAGAAAGATAGTAAGAAAAGGAGAAGGGGCTGGGAGAGTGGAAAAAAAATAGAGAGTGGAAAAAAGAGAAGAAAAAGAAAGGAAGAAGCTCTGTCTAATCACCTGACTGAATTACTCTCTTCCTCTTCAGAGTATAAAGGTGTAAATAATTACACAGTATTCCTG